TTTTTTTTAATGAAAATTGACTCAGATGGAGCAGATGTCTGTCTGTCTGTCTGTGAGCTTGAAAGAATCACTTTAGTTTAAAGAGTCCATTGGGAGTCATTGAAGTGAAACATTTTTGACTGAGCTTCAGAATCACAAGAGGGCAGCAGACTGACAGCACACTAACAAACACTAAGTTGCCATCAAAGTCAGATTAAAAAAAGAGCAAAATCTGTTTTTATTTTTCCTTCACAGTTGGACACAGACTCCTAATGTGTTGGTCAGTGTGATTGGTAATGTGTGTAAATAATTACACTGAACTTCAGTGCACCTGAACTTCTGTTTGATGGTGGCTGAAATACTAAAAACCACAATGCAGCATTATTTGAAACCCCTGTCCTTCTTCTGGTTGGCTTCACGGAGGCTTGTAGCCTGTAGGATGGTCTGTCAGATTTGATTATGACATTTAGCCTAGTCTTTTTAAAAGGCTAAACATTTAAGATACTGTACTGATGGGAGGATTGCACACCAACTTTTCTGGTGGCACCACCACAAGGTTCACAGTTGTGGCTTGGATATAGTTGTAGTTTAAAAGTAATCAAGAACTTTTGAATCAATTGCAGTAAAATTTGGATTCAAATATATATTTTCTTCAGCATAAAGCCAGACTTTTTATCTATAGTTAACCTTAAAATTTAGGATCATGTCAAACTGCTGGCATTAACTTTGACATTAAACTTGAATTTAAACAGACATAACATTTCAATGACCACTGGCAGGTTAACACAGATCCTCTCTTCATCATGTTCCTGGGTGGGATATATTAGAGAGCAAATAAGCATTTTATGTTAGAAGAAGTGTTAAATGCAGTAAATGTAGGCAAATGTAAGGATTTGAGCAAGTGTGCAGCTCTTGTGGAGTGTTCCCAGTCTGCAAGGGTCAGCATCTGCCAAGCAGTCCAAGGAAGGAACAGTGGTGAACCAGCAACAGAGTCATAGTAGCCAAGGCTCACTGATGCATGTGGGGGAGTAAAGACTGGCCTGTGTGGTTTGACCCAACAGATGACCTGCTTTAGCTCAAACTGTTGAAAAATGTAATGCTTGTTCTGATACAACAGCATCAGAAGAGAAGGCAAGCTGGCGGAGGCAATGTGATTCTTTGGGCAGTCTTCTGCTATGAAAACTTGAGTTGTGCCATCCATGTGGATGTTACTTTAACATGTACTACCTACCTCACACTCTCATTACACATACATATAGGATCTTGGGGGTGGGCACAATCACGGAGTCCAAATGACCATCAGGGTGTATACCTCACCCCTGACGTCGTTGCCCACCTCTCAATTTTAAATACAC